CCCCGGGAGCCTGTGCCCCCTCCCCCCCTGCTGTCCCTGTCCCTTGTCACCGTCCCTGTCACCTCCCCCAGCCTCGGGCTCTGCGTTTTTGGCAAAGCCGCCCCAAAAAATTGTGTCCCCTCCCCCCCCACTGTGGGTGTCACCCCCAATGTCCCCGACGAGGGGGACCGAGGCACGATGTGGCTTGATGTCCCCAGTGACGTCCCCAATGATGTCCCCAGTGCCCCCAATGATGTCCCCAATGTCCCCAATGATGTCCCCAATGTCCCCAATGATGTCCCCAATGTCCCAAACTCCCTCCAAGGGACATCCTGGCCTGATGTCCCCAACGTCCCCAACCTGAGGGGCTGAGACACCTCGTGACTCAGAGTCCCCAACGTCCCCACGATGTCCCCAACGCCCCGGCCCCGCACGTCGCAGCGCGATGTCACCAGTGATGTCACCGATGATGTCACCGAGCCCGAGGCGCCGGCACCGTCCCAGCTCGATGTCCCCAAGGTCCCCGAGGGACGCGGGACCCGCTCGTCGCCATCAAAGACTGAGACGCGCCGCGTCCCCGTGTCCCCAACGTGTCCCCAACGTCTGCAAACCCGCGGACTGAGCATCGTGACCCAACATCCCCAACGTCCCCAATGTCCCCAACGTGTCCCCAACGTCCCCAATGTCCCCAATGATGTCCCCAATGTCCCCAAGATCCCTGATGTCCCCGATGTCCCCAGACCCACGGACTGAGCCGTCGTGACCCAACGTCCCCAACGATGTCCCCACGATGTCCCCACGATGTCCCCAACGTCCCCCCGGATGTCCCCAACGTCCCCAATGATGTCCCCAACGTTCCCAATGTCCCCAACGTCTCCAAACCCGCGGACTGAGCGTCGTGACCCAACGTCCCCAACGTCCCCAACGTGTCCCCAACGCTCCCAACGTCCCCAATGATGTCCCCAATGTCCCCAAGATCCCTGATGTCCCCGATGTCCCCAGACCCACGGACTGAGCCGTCGTGACCCAACGTCCCCAACGATGTCCCCACGATGTCCCCACGATGTCCCCAGCCAAGGGACAGCCACCCGCGATGTCCCCACGATGTCCCCGCGATGTCCCCACGATGTCCCCACGATGTCCCCAACGTCCCCCCGGCAATAAAAGTGTCCCCCGTGGTCCCCGCGCCTGCGGCCGCTCCTTCCTGGGGACGCTGGGGAGGGGGGCAGGGGTTTGGGGGGGAATTTGGGGAGGATTTGGGGGTCTGGGGGAATTTGGG